TCCGGTTACCTGCGGGCAGCCCTGCCTGCGCAGCCACCTCAGGAGCTGCACGAGCGTATCCATGGGCCCCAAAACTAAATAACCGAGGGGTCTGCGGGGTGTCTGTTCGCCGGGGGGGCCCAGAGTGTCTCTGCTCATCTCTCTCCTCATGCCTTTTCTCCTTTTAGTTCCTTTTCTCCATGGTTTTTCCCTGCTGTCATCGCTTGTGATTATTTTTTTCCCCCCTTTACAGCTCAATGCCAGCTCGCCTTCCGGTTTTGCTGCCGACCGCAAACTCCAGAGCCCTTCTCTATTTCATAATTGATATTATTGGCACATCTGTACCTTGAATGCTCCGGTCAGATCAGCTCTTAACTTTGTTTTTTTTAACTGAAAATGTTGCAGAATCAGTTACTGGAAATGAGGACAGACTCCTCTTCGCAGACACTGAAAGGATTAGGGCTGCTTTGTTCCCCGAGCTGACACACAAGAAGGGAGATGACGGTAGGCAGAAAGAAAACCCCCTCTTCCTTTGTATCTTCTCAGGCTGGATGGTGACAGCGTTGAAAGGCAATGTTTAAACCACTATTTTTGTCTAATTTATCGAGGCTTTGGGGTTTTTTTTAATAGGTAGACACTCGGGTGGCAGGTACGGGGAGAGGTTAGTGTCGTTAATAAGCGAGAGAGCTTAACGGAGCTCATGTGGGAAGCTCCCTGGGACTGTCACTGCTGTATTTATCTCTGCCAGCGTGTGCGGCAGGCGTGGGCGTTCTCATAACGAAGCTTTTCTGTGATTAATCGGGTAATGAGAGACTCGACAGCCGTGTCAAGGAGAGGTTGGGAGGGGAAACGGCGTTCGTGTGCCTCCGACAAGGTGAAACCGGGGGGTGCCTGGTCCTGGGCCAGTGATGTTGGACCTCGGTGCCTTCGAGATATGAAGTTTGGGTTTTGAAACAGAGCTTTTCATCCCGTTTCTCCCAGGATGGCTGTGTAGAGACTGACTTGAGCACCGGGAAGGGGGAAAACTCTGGAGGAGAGCAGCAACCGTCTCGCCCGCAGCCTCTGTCCGCCGGATACCTCCGCTCCTCGCAGCGCAGGGGTGAGGTCGGGCACCGATCCTGGCTTGGCTTTGTTTTTCAGGCGAGGAGCTTGTGACACGCGTCCTCAGACAGCGCTGCTGCCTTAAACAGTTGACAGCGATGGGTTTGCGCTAACGGGAGCTAAGTTATTTAGCTGTTAGATGGACCAGCAATGCCTCATTTGGCGTTTGCCCTCCCTGGATCCATCCCCGGATCCATCCCCATTTCAGCAGATCCCATTTGGTTGGGGAAGGAGACGGATCTCGGCACCGGAGCCGCAAACTGCCCCTGCCTGAGCGGTGGCAAAGAACCAGAGTGGTGTTTTGGGTGCACCGTGGGGTTTTTTTGATCCAGATATTTGGGATTTTTAAGGCTTGGAGTCAGGGATTTTAGTGTACCAAGGTGATCTCAGCTGCTGGGGGACATTGGGTGCTGGGTTTGGGCATGAAGGTGACACGCAGCTCGTCCCAACCTCTGCCCCGCTGCACTCACGTGCTCCGACGAAGCTGTAATGTGACGTTGCGGAGGAAACCACAGCAAAGATGAAGTTTTTTGGGAGGAGCTGAGTTTCCCGGGATTTTGCTTGCTTCGCAAAGCTCAGGTGCGAAGCTGAGGCAGGTCCAATCGGGGAGTGATAAAAATCATCGTTCAGATGCAAAGTGCCTCCTACAAATTACCAAAAATAGCCTTTTAGTGCAGCAGACCGTCGTGATTTCTCAGGTCCTGCTGCACAGAGCTTTCCGAGCACAGAAGGCAGCATTGTTTGTCCTGCTGGGAAAATCCTCCCCTTTTTTTTCTAGCGCTTCCTTTGCAAACCTTGCAGGGTCATACGTATGCAGAGGTTTAGACAGATTTTGATACTAATACTGGTTTTTCTGGCTCTCGAGGGATGTATTTTGGGACAGGCTGTAGGTGTTTGGTTAAAAAGTACCCCATGTTTTGGAGAGCTGGGGAAAGTTGCGGCGGGTTATTAATTGCAAAGACAAACAGCGTCTTTTGGGAGCAAAACTTTCTCCGTGCGTGATCCGACGCTGTCAGAGATGTTCGGGCTTCTCATCCCTGCCAGGAATGATTTTGGAAGCCGAATCAGTCCTTGGGCAGAGGATCTTCCAGCAAGCGCGTTGCTAGCACCCACTGCAGACAGGAGGAGGCTCCCTCTGCCCGCCGCGCTCGCCTGCTGCGCGCTTGTGCACGCTCGAAGGGATCTGGAGGAAGGGACATGCTCGCGGCTGCCTGGAAGCGACCTGGTTTTGTGGATCCAAACCTGTCACTTTTCCGCGACCTGAGGCTCCCCGTGCTGTTTTTAAGAGCTGGTCGAGTGGAAAAGCAACTGCTGTGGGCTGGAAACCTTCGGAGAGCTGCTGAGCATCAGCTTAGCATCAAAACTGAGACTTTCCCTGGCTGTAACCTTGCTGCTTCCAGCAGCCGGAGTTTTAGGGGCTTCCTGGCCTGGCAGGTTGAACGAATAACTGCAGATCAGTCCCCGTTTGCTTCCTCCTCCCTGCTTGCTCATCTCTTGCCCAGCAAGCAATGAAACGATCCCTTCAGCCCGTGGAGGAATCATTTTCTGAAAACGAAGCTGAGTGAAAACCCTTCGTTCTCTACCCTGCGCCCTGCAGGTGCAGAAAACCCAATGTGTGGCAGCAGATGAAGCTCACGGTGCCCCTCAACCTTTACCAACGAGGACCTCGTTGAAAAATGGGCTTTCGCGGTGTTTCCAGGAGTTTGCAGCGTTCCTCAGCCAAAGTTGTGCTTCGAACAGGGAGAGCTCCCTCCAAACACACAAGAAAAAAATTAAAATTCCCCCGTATCGTGATGCAAGCACCTAAAATGAGCAGGAGTTTGAAGATTTTGGTGAATGCTTTCCACGCTGCACCCTCGGCGGGAGCGGTGGCCCTGCCTGCTCGCTGAAGGGGCGCGTTTGCAGAGGCAAAAGCGTTCCTGAGCACAGCTTGGGCCAGTTGAAGAGCAATAAACGTATTTTAAATGCTGTTAGGATGGCAAAAAAACATATGGACTGTTCAATCAACTCGCTCTGCAACCCCACACTGGTGTTGTGCCTGTTCTGGGAGAGGTTTTGGGGTTGTATTTGGTGGGGGAGGCAGGCGGCTGTAGCGAGGAGCTGAAATTAGGCTTTCTGGGCCACGTTTTTTAACTGATAGAGTGGTCAGGTGGTGGTTGATCCGTGGCTTTGTGATCTGTCCTGTTTCGTGGCCCTTTCCGATGTGGCGTCGGGGTTTCGGCACCCGTCTTATCCCCCTCCCGGGGTTTGGTTTGATTTTTTTTTTTTTTCCCCCCCCGCAGCCATGGATTTCCCCCAGCACAGCAAGCAAGTCCTGGAACAGCTGAACCAGCAGCGGCAGCTGGGTTTGCTGTGCGACTGCACCTTCGTGGTGGACGGCATCGACTTCAAGGCCCACAAAGCTGTGCTGGCGGCCTGCAGCGAGTATTTCAGGATGCTCTTCGTCGACCAGAAGGACGTGGTGCACCTCGACATCAGCAACGCGGCAGGTAGGCAGAGGGTTATCCGATATCCCTCTGAGCCGCTTAAACGAAGCGGTTTGGTGCCCAGGGTTTGAGGGAGGCTCTTCAGCCTCTTATTTCACGCACTTTGGGCTTTTCGAAATTGCACAGCCAAGAGGCGAGAGCTTATTTCTGGTTGCATCTCGCCTCCCTTGCAGGCCTGGGCCAGGTTTTGGAGTTCATGTACACGGCTAAGCTAAGCCTAAACCCCGACAACGTGGAAGACGTGCTGGCCGTGGCAGGGTAAACCTCCAAATGCAGGAGATCGTTAGCTCTTGCAACGCTCTCAAGTCCCTCGCCGTGCCGGCAGAAAGCCCTGCCAAGAGCCAGCAGCCCCCCAGCGAGGTCGGTACGTAGCCTCCTCGCTTTCCCTCATCCGGGGAGAGTGGAATTGCCCCGGGAAGCGGCCACGCGCTCTGGCCACCATCTGAACCCACGGCCCGGGGTACATCTGGCGCGCAAGGGCGTCTGGATGGGGTTTGATCCCCTTGTGAGGCAGCGGCAGTTGAAGAACTGATGCTTCCTTGGATCTTTATGGGATTTGGGAATCCTTCTAGCAGCCGTCGGTGTGCCCCTGCGCGGGCAGCGAAAGCTGGAGCGCTTTGCCTCTTCCCTCGCAGGGGCCGACAAGGCGGCTGGCGAGGACAAGAGTTCGACTGCAGAAGCACTGGGTGATCTGGACAAAATAAAACCACTTCCTCCTGACCCAGAGGGGAAGGAAGAGACGCCCGCGGCCGCAGCAGCACAGCCCGAGGCGCAGACGGAGCAGCTGGGTGGCCAAGAAGGTGAGCCACCAAGGGATGACACCCAAAATCCCCGCCACTCCCCCAATACACCCTGTCGTGCTGCCAGGCTCTGCTTCAGGGAGCCTGATGTCTCCTCGACCGTGCCCGACGTGCTCCGTTGCTCACAGGGACGGATGTTGCCATCCAAGAGGGCCCCAACACCGAATTTCCCAGCCACCCGCAGCCGGCGGAGAGTGTGGTCAGCAGCAGCAGCCCCGCGGCGAAGGGCAGCGTCTCTCCGGGTGCCGAAACGGGAGGTGTGTTCGTGAGCGAGGGCGGTGGCGGGGACTTTGCTGTCTGCCCGTTCCCTTCGGCGGGGCTGAAACAAGGGTCGAACCCTCGTTTTCCATGCAATTAATTTTCTCAGCGTGAGTTTTGCTGTGCAAACGCTGTCTCCTGCAAGTCGCAGAGCCCACAGGAGCGGTTGGCTGTGGGGCAGAGCTAGGAGAGGTTGGGAAATGCTCCTCCGTCCGCGCAGGCTTTTGGATTTTAGGCCTAATAACCTGCAAATCCAAACTGGCTCCAGGCAGAGGTCTCAGCACCTGTGTGGTATGATGGAGTAGCAGGATTTCCCTGAGTGCGGTCGGGCAGGTTTAATCCCTGTTTCCTTAAAGAGCTAGGAAATACAGCTGGATTTTGTGTCTCTGCTGCTGCTCACGATTCCTAGCATCCCCGTTTTCTAAATGCCGGCAGAGACGGAGCTGGAAGGGAAGGAGGAAGAGGGGGAGATGCTGGCAGAGGACGAAGAGGAGGCAAAAATCCCCGAGGAGGAGCAGCCCCGGTTAGAAAACGGAGAAAACGCCGAAGATAACGAATCGGGAAGCACCGACTCCGGGCAGGAGAACTCGGGTGAAACCCGTCTGCTGCGTTCGGGTACTTACAGCGACAGGACCGAGTCGAAAGCCTACGGCTCCGTCACGCACAAGTGCGAGGTGAGGCCGGAGCCCGAGCGGGGTCTCCTGTCCCTCAGGGACGCCGGCTGTCACCAGCCGCCCCTGCGCCTGTCTCTCTCCATCCCTAGGACTGCGGGAAGGAGTTCACCCACACCGGGAACTTCAAGCGGCACATCCGTATCCACACTGGCGAGAAACCCTTCTCCTGCAGGGAGTGCAACAAAGCCTTCTCCGACCCGGCTGCTTGCAAAGCCCACGAGAAGACGCACAGGTACGGCAGCGCCGGGGACCGAGAGGTGTCCCGGGCTGAGCTGGGTGGAGGAAGGCTCGTGATGATTGTGACGGTGCCAGCGGCTGGCTGAGGGCGCGAGGGTTTGAGCCAACACTGCTCTGCTTCTCGCAGCTGTCTGGAGGGGTTGGCGACTCCCAGCAGCTCGTTTGTCCGGCGCAGCCGCAAAAAGACGCCAGCAGCGCCTGAAAAATGGCGGCTTTTGCTGCAAAAAATCAAATCCTTGTGAAATCCATCAGTGTGGTGGGGTGGTCCGGGAGGTGATTTCATCCTTCTGCCCCTGTCCTTCCCTTTTGCATTGCTTCAAGATATCCTGTGTGATCCAGACGGGTTTGGCTGGGGTGGTGGAGCTCGGATCGGGGTGGTGAGAGCTCGGCGCGCCTGTTCTTCCCCCGTGGCGTGAAGGCCCCATCTCCTCCACAGCCCGTTGAAGCCCTACGGCTGCGAGGAGGTCGGGACGAG